GTATTTCTTCAGGTTGACCTAATTTTAGTACTACCTACTCTGAGAGAAAATTTGATTGTTGATAATCCAAAATACCTCAATGACATTGAGGTATATATGAAATTGTTGAGCTACTCTTATTCTTTTAATATGTATATGATGGCACTTATATTTATCATACAAATGTTTTGTTCGTTTTTGTTAGTTAACATATTTTTATTTTTTATATCGTAGTTATCATAACTAAATATCGTATGTAAAACGGAGTATTTGAAAACATATTTATATATCATAGACTATAAACAGTATTAAAAATTCATGTAAATAAATGTATATTTTTACTAACCAATTATAATGTTTCCGTTCCTGATGTCGGCAGGGGCAATCAACAGGTTGGTGCCGCATTTGTTGACGCCTCCAATGGTTTGGACTAACCAAGAATTGAAAAAAAGCGGATTTTCAATGCAAAACTTTGAATCGAATCCATTTGACTGATTTTAAAGTGGAGAACAGCTAGACGTTGTGAAAATAAAAGAGATTTAATTTTGAGAAAATAGCCAAATATATAGTAGTTGCACAATCTCAGATGAGTAGATGTGTATGCACCGCGTCAAAGCATATTTAAACTTTGGGTGGGTTTGTCTATTCTCTGTAAAATTGTTGGAGAGTTGAAAATTTTCAATTCAACATTACGGTAGTACTTAAAGTAGTGTAGTGTTCTTTTAATTGAAGGTTTAGGATACCTAAAGCATTAAATTTTATAGTTAGTTATAGAATTGCATGTGTGCTAAATGATGGTTTCTATCATATGTGTACGTTCTGAGCCAAAATGGATTAGAATAAGATAGTCCAACCCATGATGGTTTCCAACTTTCCATCTGTGATTAGCTTGACTGTAGTTTTGCCGCACGGGAATCCTTTGCCGAGCAGGATGTTAGTAATATCTTTTATTCTTTGTTTCGTTAAGTGTTTATTGGTATTAGTTTTGGTGTAAAACACTGATTACTAATTTTCCATGGAACGGGCAGTATATCTCTGACACGTTATTCCAGTGACAGTTTAGCATTATTTATTAAGGTATGTATATTTCATCTAGCTTAGCCATTTGCTGCTTCCCACACACAATCTTAGTAGGCGACATTCTTGTTACTATTATTGTTATTTATATTATTATTATTGTTATTGTTAATGTAATTATTATCATT